TTTTGGAACCATTGTGCCAAAATTGACAAGGGGTTTTGAGAAACATACCTTATTGTTTGTGCTGGAAAGCCACCACTTCTTTTGCTTGCAAAAGTTGTGCAGCAGCCAAGAGGGATAAAAAATGTTTACATCTTTGAGCCACTTGGTGAAATAGGCCACACTCTATTTCTAGTTGGCCATTTCAGCAAAGAAACAATTGCATATGTTTTTTCTCTCAAACTAACTTGTTCAGTCATATCTGTTGGGTATTTAAAATAGGGGAATATTTGCCCAACATACTGTTTATGCGAAAGAATTCTTAAATGCAGCTAAAGAATATCCAAGAAATAAGTCATTATATGTTGTGTATTTTTTAAATGCCAAGTTTTTTCCACGTGTTTTCTTCTTTGATGAAGTTGAAGTACTGCACCTTTCAATTAGTTTCCAAATTTTCAGAAATTTATGAAATAATCCTTATCTATGCAAAGAATCCTGGTCCAAATTTCATATATTTCATATATACATTTGTTATATATTCAGATTACAGCCTAGATTTTTTATGAGATTACGCCTATAAGAACTCTTTTATAGGAGATGCGTTGTGAAATAATTCTACTCTACTGCAGGAGATCATTCATTATTTGAGCTTTTTTAAGTCATTCGTCTCAAAAATTGCCCTGAAGTCATTGGAAAACAATTCATTTGTTTATCTTCAGCAGAAAAATTGAGAACAAGACAAATCATAGCTCCAATTCCTTCCATCTCAGGAAATTATCAGATTTTGAAAGAGGATCCATCAACAAGATCCTTCACAACATCCATATTCAATGATGAGGTACAGGGATCCAGTCACTTTGAGCTTTGACAAGGTACAAGATTTCAAACACTCACAAATTCTAGTCTCATTCCACAGGAATTCTCAAAATGCCCGCAGTTAATACAATTTTGAGATTGGAATTTATTTTAAGCATTTTTGGCATAAAATGCACCGGATACAGTCAGTTTTACATGGTTGATGACCATATAAAGAACAGTACACACTTTAACTTATTACATCAGGGAACAATGATGCAAAAAATATCAGAGTCAACCCACAAAAAAGCACAAAAAACCACAGCTATAAAGCTTAGAGGCAGAATTCTCTCATCCGTCCAAAACCCTCTATTTTACATTGTATAGATCAGTGTTCTCCAACCTGTGGCCCACTCACCAGTGCTATTCCACAGAATTTTTTTGCCAGTCCCAGGAAAAATTTCTGAAGCATGATAAAATTATCAAAAATAGCCATACAGTTAATTATCTTTATCTGAAATTTTGGAAAGACAATGACAGTTGAAATTATAGGATGAAAAAAAGAAAAATTTTCCTTTCTTTGAAAAAATCTTCTGATAAATTTTCAACTCTGCTGAAGTAAATTACTTTAAATTTTATCTGTTCTGAGAAACCTCTCACCGAGCCAACCTTTCTGATTATTTGAATAAAAGCCACTAAGCTGCTTCACAGGTTCTTAATTTTTGCAAAAATGTAGAAACTTTTTAATACCTGCTATAAAGTCTTTGAAGCAAAATTTTGTCAAGTATGCAAAAATGTTATGAAACTTGGCCATTCTGCAGACAATTTATGCTGATTTTGCCAGTCAGGAAAAATTGTTATGGGAATTTACCAGTCTGCAGGTTCAAACAGGTTGAGGAACACTGGTTTAGATTACTTCTGCTGCTTTCAATGAGCAGCAACAGGGATAGAAAGCATTTGAAAATTCCTCCTGCTTTGTGAGAATGCATCTGAATATCTCTCTCAGATCCATGCACATCCTAGACAACAGAACCAGGGTTGAGAAGCTTCAAATCCACACCATTCCCAGATTCTTCCTTGAGCTGTCGCACTTCCTGTGCCAGAACCTCTATCTCTTCACTAATGAACCTATGCACCACCTTCAAGTCTTCCAGGGTAGGGAAAGCAGTCTTCAATCCTGTAACATTGATGGCCAACTCCCCAGCATTGCTCTGCACCAGAACTCCCAAGGCTATATCAACACAGATTCCATAAGAAAAGGGATTTCAAATGCATTCATAAAGGGTTCATACAAAGAAAAATTGGTACCTTCCAGTTAACTCAGTACCTACTTTCCGTGCACCTACCAGAAACTGTGAATTTCATTTTTCCATATTCTGCTGAAACTGATTTTGGGAGGCAATTAGGTAAAGTTAGGTTAGGTCAGGTTATGTTAATTGAAAGATATTTGTAACTAACATAACATTTTGCTGAAACTGATTTTGGGAGGCAGTTAGGTAAAGTTAGGTTAGGTCAGGTTATGTTAGCTACAAGTATATTTTAATTAACATAACCTGGCCATAACATAACAAATACTGAATTCACAAGAAAAAGGAAAATGGGTACTGAGATAACAGGAAAGTACCAAAAAACTCACGGGTGGTCTGTGGGATGCTCAGAACTCCATGGAAATTGTCAATAACATGACCAAACATCTTCAAAATTTGCCCTGAGCCACGGAATAACGTTATTGCCATTGTGGGCTTTCCTGCCAATCGCTTCAGCAACCGCTCAACCATCCAGACTGGAAGAACATTGAAGGAAAGCTGGTTGTAGAGTAACATGGCTGACCAGAGGTACACTGATTTGATGTAATCAATTGTAGTCTTTTCCATGGCTGTCAAATGTTCCACTGCATTCTTGGCCTTCAGAGGCAGTGGGAAGTTCACCACCACAATCCTATTGGTCAGTTCAATCTTGTCCCCAGGCATCCAAAGTGCTATTGGTTCCCCATTGGTCACTGTCCATTGATCATCACCCTTTCCTGGATTCAGGCTGATGAAATACTTGCGCAGAGCTCTTGCAACAGCAGTGAGAACCACATCATTGAACTTGTGCCCTGTTGAGTTCTTGATTTCCTTGACTGTAGCTATTGGCACTGATCCTTCCCAGTAGGAGAATTTCCCCGGACTCTTTTGCCCATTTTTGGGCATCATCATGGCACTTCTCTGGGCTCTGGCCTTGATCGGGTTCCTGTCTGCGGGTCCACACGCCTGGGACACCAGGAACAACGGCAACCCGAACAAGCCCTTGAAGTAGAGCCAGGCCCTGGCCCAGCCCGGCACAGACTTCATGTGCATAAACGGATTCTCCACGACGCCGTCGCAAAGTGCTGGCACAAGAACCATCCCAGTGGCCCCGGCGTCCCACATGCAATGATTCGACATGAGCACAATCAGTGTCGACTTGGCATCCACTCGTGGCACCACCAGGAACTTCCAGCAAGGTCGACCAAATTCGAAAACGTCGTCAGAGTCGTTGATGATGACGTTGACGATTCGAGCTCTGTCGGCTTCGTCTTTGAAAGACACTATTTCCCCGGTGTCTCGTTGGCGCAGGAAATCCACGTGGTTCTCCAGTCGGAAGTCCTGGACGTCTTTCCAGATGAAGTAGCCTCTGTAGCGACACACGGCCTGACGCAGACGTCGGTGCTTGAATTGCCCAGACGCTGGGTCTTTCACGTCGAGCAGATTGTTGCGGATTCGCTGCCTCAGGGCAGAAATCTCCACGTTTCCCGCAACTTCGATCAAGATGCACGAGAGGGCCTCGGGGCAGCGTAGTGGCCAGTGGACTGGGGCCGAGTCCACGGATCGCATGAGTGAGGCTCCAGACCCGAACTTGGCCCAGAGGCTGATTTTCACGAATGTTCGCCAAATGAAGAAGGCGAGGTAAATGGGTGCGAATGCGAGGATGACGAAGGGAGATATTAAATACATGAGGATCACCCCGAAGAGCATCATTTTGAAGGTCCTTATTATTGCTGCTCAGAGACTTCCTGAAATCAAGTAAAGTGGAGTCAATATAGACCAGTGGTGAATCAACTTTTCTGGAAGCAAATGGAACAATTGATAATCCATGCATCAAGAGCTACTGCAACAAACAGGTGTTCCCCAAAAAAAATGTCTGTAGCATAAAAATTGAAAAGAAGTAGCAATGAAGTCATTCATGAATGAATGAATGAACAGAACACTTTATTTGCCGCTTTTCAGCGTTCACAAGGTTCAATCAAGAGACCCTTTCTGAATGGACAAATGAACCCCTGTCTCCAAAATAAAATATAATACTGTATTGTCAAATTATTAAAGAAGCAATTTAAGGCCCAGAATATCACCATTCGTAATTTCTCAAAATCCTTCCATGTTTCCAAAAGACAATGGCAGCCTAAATTATCTAATTCTCCTAACAAACATTTCTTCTCTAATTCTAAAAACACTTGAGACAAATTATCACCTGCAGGAATAAATCATTTAATTTTTTTTATTCGAGAAAGCTTTCTTTAAGCCCACCACTTTACTTTTTTGAAGCCATTCTACTAGACTAGCTGCTTCATTGGTTATTGACTTATTGATCTTTGAAAAAATAGAAACTTTTTGAAAACCAGCCCCAAAGTCTTTCAATAAAAACTGATTTTCAGTCTGCAAAAAATGATTTTGAAACGTGGCTACTACACTGAAAATTTATGGGAAATTTGCAAGTCCGCAAATAGTTTCATGGAAATTTGCTGGTACACTGGCCCAAAAAGGTTGGAAAACAGTTAGAAGATGCATCAAATTTGAAAAATAAGATTCCTAAATTGTGTTATCAGCTGAAAATTAAGTTATGCTGCTACACAATAAGCCTTTGGAGTCAGAACCCTAATTTTCACTAAAGGCAATCTATAAGAAGATTACCAAAGGACCCTCAACTAAGAATTTTTTTCAATTGCAGTTCTCGTATCACCAATTAAGATGTCATGATGATCTTGAATTTACATTCGGCATCACTAAAAAAAGAGTTGGAACATTCAACATCTAAAACTGTTATCATGATTGTGAGAGCAGCAATTTTTGAAAATTGGATTACATTTCTAAGACAATTTCAAGCAGTACAATGGCTTCCTTGTTTTGGTACAACATTCTTGACAAACATGAACAGCACAGTAATTATTTCACCTTGACATAACAGTCGGTCACAATTTCTGCAGAAACGTTTGCTTATCTTAATGCAAATAAATAATTTTAAGGAAAATAATAAATTTCAAAGAATGTACAGTACATTTCAAGTTTATTTCTGGTGCTTGAAAATATAGCCTTGATGAATCTAATTATATCATTCAAACTGAAACTCTCGCATGAACTTCAACAATTTCATCACTTTCCAAAGCATGGGAAAGTTTCAAGTTGCGAAATCCAGAAAATACCGTATTAAGTGGTTAAACGTAATGTAATTTTTCCTGTTGAGAAATATATAAGTATATCTTTTTTCAATTTGCCTCTCTTGAACTGTAGAACTGCACACGCGGGTATCTGCGAAGTAGCTGCATTGTGTTCGAAAATACTTGCAGAGGTTTTAAAATTATGGCTGATGGAAATATTAAAATCAACTCACGTTGACTTGAAATTGTTTTCCTGTCAGCATTCTCCGCTCAAAAAATGTGCCACTTTTTTACAGAACTTATTCAAATGAGCATTCGGATTACGCTAATAACCATATAAAGTCAGCGTCAGGGCCTTCGTACATTTTTCAGTACGGAAACTTGATCATGATTCGTCATGAAATCTTTAATAAAAAAATTGTTTTCGAAAAAAATTTGACTTACAATTTTAAAAATGAACGCATTTTAAAATAATTTCATAAATTTCAATTAAAAGTGTACATTCTAAAAATTTCGAGCAGTAAACAGTTCGGACAAAAAACCTGTTGGAGTACAGTACTTATTGCTTCTCTAGTGCACCACAAATCAATGCAATGCAAAATAATAAGCATATAAAAGAGAATGAGTTACCATGACCAGGATAAATACTACTTTTTAAAGAATAAAATGAAAATTTCTGATTCCAGGCATGTGTTGCAGATTTAATGTCAAATGAACTTTAGGTTATTTTAAATTTTTAGGGGAAGAAAAGCCAATATTTTGGTTTGTGCCTGAGATGGTGCTGGGTTTGGGGTCCCTCATCCACATGCAGGGAAAGGGGGGAGGGATGCAGCAAGTTTGAGAAAGAAGTGGCTGGCCAAGGTTGCCACCACCATCATTGTTTTCTTTTTGTTGCCTGCTGTTGCTTTTATGCTGATTTTATTTCATAGCTGGCAACACTGGGCAAGTTGGTGGGTTTGTGTGCTTTGCTGATACAATTTTGGCATGTGCGCAAATTTTGTTCTTTGTGAGCAGTTTTTCTTTTATTTTATTTTAGCAGAAGTGGAATTACTGCTCCATTTTTTTCTCCAAGTTGGAGCTATTGTGTTGTTCTGTTTTCTGCCATTTTGGTTTCATAGTTTTCTTGTTGCCTGAATTCTGGGAAATGCATTGAGTCTTGAATTGGATGCCTTCCTGAAAGGTTGTCCGATTGTTCATTTTTGTTTGTTGCCCTGATGTGTGCCACTAAGCCTTTTTTGTTGATAGCATTGATATCAGTGTTTCCCTTGCTTAAGAATTTGGTAACGTTTTTTATTGGAAATTTAAAATCTGCAACAGTAATTAACTTTTAGAATCAAAATTCAGGTTCAGGGATATTTGATTGAGATTAGTGTAAAATCTTGTTGAAACCAATTCCATTGCATCAAATTTTCCAGTCTAACAAACTTTTTTCCGAATCCTGGGAGAAATCCAATAGGGTGTATGCTATAAAAATCTTGTTTCAATGAACTTGCAAATTCCATTATACTGTATAACAAACTTTTGGAGCTACATTTTTACTAAAGGGTTACTTTTTAGGGGTTACTACCGTTCGTGTCAGAGTATAAAGGGTAACTTTACACTGACACTGACGTACCAAGAACTTTATACTGCACCTTAGTTCCTGTTCTCAAGAAGGTTTAAGTCTTGAATACCCTCCCTTTAAATTTTTCCTGGTTAAGAAAAGTGGGAGGGTGGTTGTTAGAAAAAAATAAACTTAGCAAAACTCATTTTGAAAGAAGTTTGTATGCTTGAGAAACCGTGCTGATTAAAAATTGTAAGGTTTTTTTAAAAGATAATCCACCCTTATTCATCTGTACTGGAATTTCTTAGAAAAACTTCCATGAGCAAAAATGCTGGTGTTTGCCTGTTATTCAGAATAAACGTTTGCTAGTAACATTTGAATTTCTGTTTTTAAGATCACACTTTGTTGAACACTGAAAAACATTTCAAAAGCCGCAAGAGGAATAAAGATGTTGCTTATATGCAGGTGCAATTTAAAGAACATCTTCCGAACAGTCAAAAATTTTGAAAATATCATTATAACACATTTTTTCAACAAACTTTTTCTGAAATCCCCAGGAGTTTTTTGAAACAATACATTTTTAATGGATACCCAAAAGTTCAAAAATCTCAGTCAGTCCAGAAATAATGTAAATAAGTGGAGAAGAAAAGCAAAGGTTAATTTTCCCCCATTCAAAGGAAATCTTTCTCTACGCTTCCAGAGCCCCTGTCTGAGCACAAAAGGCTGGTTCAGACAAGTCAAGGATGCTAGGACAGAAGAAGCTTCAAATTATCCTCTTCCTTCCCATCCAGCAAGATTTACTGCTCTGTAAAGTATTTCTGTATATATACACAGGTTGGTTCATAAGTTTTGAAACTTTTGTAATAGATCCAAGGGAGTTTCAACAAGTGTAAAAAAAATGTGTACTTGTAATGTGTACCCATAATTTGTCAATGCTCCTGTGATGTTCAGCATACTCTCCAGTCTCCACCCATTTTTATGCAATTTTTCATGCCATAAATTTTGCAATTAAAGCATTGCAAAATTGAGTTCCATTATAGTTGATCAAGCTTTACTTTGATGGCAGAAATGAGGCTGTCCCTGTTTTCAAAATGAATCCCTTTCAGGTTATTTCACTGTTGAGAAAAGCCAGAAGTCACAGTGTCCAATCAACAAACAGAACTTGATTTTTGGGACTGTTTTGAACATTGGATTTATTGCATGAAAAAAATGCATTGAAATTGGAGGAGAGAATGTTGAACAGCACTGAAATTTTGTCACGTGATGAGAATATGTGAGTAAGAAAAATTGTGAATTGTTATTGGAACTCTTCTGGATCTATTTCAAAATGCTGATAAACTTTTGAACAAACCCTCGTATTTTTATCCAACAGAATGGAGAGGGAGACTCCAACATATGGACAATTCAACTTTTAACACTTTGCTGTCCTTTTCCTGAATAAGCAAACATTTTATTTTCTAATTTTGATATCTCTTGATAGTCTTGCACGAATTGAGCTATTTATATTCAAGAAATTGAAAATACCGTACACTCCATCATAAAACTTATTTGAATTCATAATTTTAAAAGAAGCTGATGCTGGGCTTCTTTTTTCATCTCTGCACAGTACTGTAAAGCAAAATGCATTCTTGCGATTTGCTTCCTAAACTCTTTCTGATGTGGATAGATCAGATTTCTAAAGGGTTATCTTCCGCATCTTGACCTTGACAAAAATTGTCTTTATTCATTTGTTGGGGGACTTATTCCTAATTTTTCATGAACAGGGGAAGCAATTAAATGAGTTTGCATTGACTTCTATGCAAATATGTGCTGGGGCATATCAACTACAGTAGAATCTCATTACAACAAACTCCCAGGGACCATGAAAAAAATTTTTTATAACAAAAAATGTGTTATACTAAGATTTATGTAATTAATTGGATAAACAACACTGTAACACATGAACAAGCATTTTATTGCTTGAAATTGTCAGTTATTTCACTCTTCCCAATTTTCTTTGCCAAAGAATTCACGAAGACATCTCCCACTTGCTTTAGGAACTTGAAGACATCATCATTTTGCTA